TAAAAGTTAAAAATCTCCATCCACCTCCAGCCCAAAGAAGAATTTTGCTCCTTTACATTATCCTACACCGCCCCTCTACTCTTGATTTTCTCTTCTGTTCTTTATATTAACTCTTAGATGGGTGTGGTGTCCCATGCCTAAAATCCCAGCATTCAGGAGGCTGAGACAAGAGATAATCACCCTAAGTGTGAGGCCAGCCTGAACTACATAGTGAGCCCCTGTCTCAAAAAAATAAAATAAAATAAAATAAAATAAAATTTAATTCTTTCTAGAGTCATTTCCTCCAGGCTTGGGGCACATCTTCCATACAATAACTTCATTACATGCTTTGGTTAGTTCCATTATTTTTAAATACTGTGTTGAGTAATGGAAATAACCAGCATGGGCTTCCTAGGCCCACAGAACGGGCAGGCTGACTGAAAGCCCAGGGTAAGAGGTCAGCCATTGCTACAATCGTCATTCTGTAATGAAAACACCTCCCGTCATCCTGATATTTGAAAACTGTAGCAGCACAGGTGGCACGAAGATCCTCCAATTCCTTAAATAGTGATTTTCCTCTCTGAGGTGACAAATTGTCACACAATTCCTTACACAATTAATTCACTAAGTGTCCTTCAGAAACAAAACCAGGCTTTATCTGCTCATTTTCTTGCCCATTTATTGCCTTTCTAGTTATTAATGTAACAAATATTCTCAGGTAGCTAAAACTTCATTTAAGGAGACAACATACAAAATGGAATTGAAAAATAGTTTGTGCAGAATTGTCCAAGTACTTATGACTTTAAAAAAAAGCAAATCCTGTGCTCCTAAAATCTTATAGATACACTAAATTATTAGATAATTTTGTATTAGTCTTCTCTCTCAAAACCTGGGGGCTTCACTTTTTCCAGTCAGCAGTGTCCACCAGGGTGCAGGTGGCTCTAAATACAAACACCCATCTATTGATCACACATGCTGAGTCCTCTTAGTCCAAATTACTCACTGGGCAAGGGAGGAGTCTGGCTTACAGTACAGCCCTTGCCCAGCATGCACACAGCCCTGGCTTCAATCTCCAGCACCACAAAAAGAAATGGTTTTTTTAAAAATATGGGGTGGCACACACCTGTGAGCCTGAGGCAGGAGGATCACAAATTCTAGTCCAGCCTGGGCAGCTTAATGAGACCCTGTCTCAAAAACAAAATAAAAAAGGCCTGGGGATGCAGATCAGTGCAAAAGCCCTGGGTTTAATCCTCAGTACTGCAGGTGGTTAGACAT